CTCTCACAGTCTCTACCCCTCCACTCTCTCTAAAAATCAATGGAAAAAATATCCTCGGGTAAGGACTAACAACGACAGAAAAAGATATTGTAAGTTCATGAGAAAAGAACAAATTTTCTTATGGTGAAAAAAAATCTTAGGAACAACAAATTACAAATATTCAATTTTTTAATAAAAATGTTTTCCTTCCTCACATGTGAACATCCAATAAATAAAACATACATAATTATTCTGGGTATAGAAACTAGTAATTCACTTATGAAAGAGGTGCATTTTGGTATACTTGGTGGTAAGGTTTTTTTCTTTTTTTAGTTTTATTTGTTTGTTATTCTTAATAAATCTCACTTTGACTGGACTTAGACCTATAGATGGAAGCTCTCAGAGAGAACAGCGTATGGCTTTTGGCAGTCCGTTCCTGGCATTTTTTTTAAAAAAATATATTTCTTTATTGATTTCAGAGAGGAAGGGAGAAGGAGAGAGAGATAGAAACATCAATGATGAGAGAGAATCATCGATTGGCTGCCTCCCGCATGCCCCACACTGGGGATTGAACCTGCAACCGGGCATATGCCCAGGCTGGGAATTGAATTGTAACCTCCTGGTTTATAGGTCGACACTCAACCACTGAGCCACACAGGCTGGGCTCCCCCAGATTCTTTATTTGAGTACAAACTCATCAATTTCTGTAGAATTCTGGCTATGGTACCAGGCCACAGGAAAGGTCTGAAATATCTAAAAGTCATTTGATTAGAGAAAAATGTCTTCTTGAGACTTGGAGGCAGCCATTCATCACTCACTTGGCGTTGAAGGCATTCCTCAGTGAACTTCTTTCCTAGTCTCCAGAGGAAAGTGCAGGATCTGAGTTCCCAGAAGGGTTGCTGCCAGCTGGAACACTGACCAGCAGAGCATCCTTGCAGGCATTCTGCATGCAGTACTGTTGATCCTCTCCACCCCAGCCTCCAGCCTGAGCTGCTCCACCAGGCACTGCGGGGCGTTCACACAGGCCCCAGAAGACAAGGCCACCACACTGTGCTCTGAGGGCAGGCACAAATTCCAGTGTGGTGGGTAGCCCATAAGTGGCCACCAGTAATCCCCACCTGCTGTTGTGTCATCTCTCCCCCTGGAGTGTGGCTGGACCTAGTGGCTGGCTTCTGCTAAGCAAAACGTCATGGGGTGTCACTTCCTAGATTAGGCTACGAAAAGACTGTGATTTCCAGTCTTGCTTGACACCCTCTCCCTCTTCTGGTGCCTTGGATCTAGTGGAAGCCACTATATGTGGTGAGTATCCTCTAGAGCAGCGGTTGCCAACCGGTGGTCCGCGGACCCCTGGCGGAAGGTTGGCGACCGCTGCTCTAGAGAAGTCCACAAGGCAAGAAACAATGTCTCTGACCAACAGCCTTGGCCGGCACCTGGCTTGCAGCCTTCTGAGCATCCCTAAGCCAGAGGCGCCAGCCAAGCCACCTCCGGAAACAGTGATATAATAAATGCGCATTGTTTTAAGCTACTAAATTTGGGGATAATTATTATGCAGCAATGTGTATATAACTAACATATTCATTAACGGAACATATTAGGACATCAAACTATAAACAGTTTATTTGGTACAATTTTTCAGGGAGCTAATATGACCATAAATATTAAATTCTCCTATAATTTTACACATCCTCTGTCCTTGTAGTTCTACCTCTAGAACTTCTCTTAAGGTGGGGAAAAAATCATGAAATGCAAACAAAGGAATAGTTACAGGGATGTTCAGAGCAGCACTAGAATGGCAAAAATTGGTAGCAATCCCATACATCTAATAACAGGGCATTGAGTAACTAGATCATGGAATTGCCTCTAACAGAACAGGTTGGACTCCATTAGTGAGTCTTGAAAAACAAAGTGACTTGCTTTCAGCATTTGAAAAAAAAAATAACATGGAATAGAATGGAATAGAATTAAAAAATACCCCATATTTCCACCATTCAAATGCCACTACTTTCACCACTTTCTTTGTGGGTTTATTAATGATAGCCATTCTGACAGGTGTGAGGTGATATCTCATTGTGGTTTTAATTTGCCTTTCTCTGACGATTAGTGATTTTGAGCATCTTTTCATATGTCTATTGGCCATCTGTATGCCCTCTTTGGAGAAGTGTCTATTCAGATCCTCTGTCCACTTTTTCATTGGATTGTTTGTTTTTAGTTTTGAGTTGTTTAGGTTCTTTATAAATTTTGGATATTAACCCCTTATCAGATGTATCATTGGAGAATACCTTAAGGAGCCTCACATTATTAATAACTAGAGGCCAGGTGCACGAATTTGTGCACAGGTGGGGTCCCTCGGGGTGGCCTGCGGAGATTGGGCCCCAGCTCGCACCCCCAGCCTCACAGCCCTGCCTGGCACCCCCGCCTTGGCCTGGCACCGCCCCCTCACCTGCTCCACCATCCCACTTGCGGGGTGATTGGTTGGGGCTGGAGGCCTCCCCAGTTGGGGGGCCCTCCCACCCCACCCAGCTCCCTCAGCGCCTGGAAGCCAGCTGCGGCCCTGCCTCCTGCCACCTCCTGCCAATGCTGGTCGCCATCTGCGGGGCAATCTGCGGGGTGATTGTGCCCCCGCTTGCACCTGCCTTGGCCTGGTGCCGCCCACTCACCTACTCCACCATCCCGCCGAGGTCCCGCTCTCATCGGGGCCCCATCGGGGCTGGCAGCACCTCCACTGTTGCCCATGCTGGCACTGCATCGCCAATGCCTGCCATGTTCCGTGCCGCCCCCAGGTGGTCAGCACATGTCATAGCAAGCGGTCGAACTCCCGGTCTCCCAGTGGAACTCTCAGTCAAATGACTGCCTAAGGGGACAATTTGCATATTAGGCTTTTATTATATAGGATGGGAATAACTCATTCGTGTGCCCTCGAGTTTTACCAGGTCCACACTGTTTGCTGATGCAGAATCCCACCAACCTCCAGTTTACAAATTAGGAAACAGGCTCAGAGAGGCTCCATGCATGAACCTGTCTATGTCTCTATGTAGGCAGCCATGAAGTTTGCATATTTATATTCTCAATTAAAGTTCTGTTAAAGGTCTAAATACCTCTCCTATCTCTCCACTTCTTACTATCAGCAACACTACCTCCCCTAGTCAAGCCCTAAGCGATGGCCTCTTAACTGCCTCCTCCAGCCCTTCTGCACCCTCTGACCCTCTCTCTATTCAATGGCCAGAGTGATCTTTTAGAAATTTAAATCTGATTATGTCAGTCTGCCCAACCACCATTGCTTAAGATTTTGCAGTGATTCCCAAGGCTCTTAGAATAGAGATAAAACTCCTTAACACGATTCACCGGGCCCTGTGTAGACACTTTCACACCTTCTGCTCATGGCCCCCTCCTTTCGGTTCCAATCCCTTGGACTCTCTGTTCTTTGTATTCATCATCTCCTTTGTGTCACAGAGGCTTTGCATATGGTCTGCCTTCTGCCAGGGCCACTCCTCCTGGCCCTTGTGCCTAGTTCACACCAACTCATCCTTCAGCATTCAGTTCAAATGTTATTACTCACTACATGACACCTTATGGCACTTTTTTCTTTAGATCACTAAATACAGTTGCCATTTTATATTTATTAGCTGATTAATGTTTGCTTATTTTTATATTAGATGGAGAGTTCTATAAAGGCAGGAACTGTGTCTCTTTTGGATCACCCATCCTGGTGCTGAGCCTAATACTGGCCTGCTAGCGGAGCTCATAAAGTCTTTGTTAAGTGAATGAGGCGATGAATGAACAAAACCCACTGACTCCTCTGATCTGCTTCCTTTTCCTGAAAGGGCCCTCAGATCCTTCAGAAGACAGGAAGCAGCAGAGAGAGGGGACTATCACAATAATGACTGCCCATCACAGAGTGTCAAAGTAACAGGAGAGTCTACAGGATGCATTTTAGAGGCCTCCCTATCCTTGCTAATTTCCACCCTCTTCCAAAGAGGCCCCGGAGGGAAGTCACTGAGAAGTCCCAGGGCCAGCCTTTCTGATACAGAGCCTCACCAGGAAGGCAGGGAGAATGGGAAGGGGGAGAAAGGAAGGGAATGGATGTTTATTAAGAAGGGACTCTTTTGGACACCATGCTAAATGTTTATATCTATCATCTCATGTAATCCTCCCCTGAACCCCATTTTGCAGATGAGTGAACAGACTTAACAAGCTTGTGAGGCAAAGTTGAGTTGGAACTGAGATCTGTCAGTCTTCCTTCAACGCCTGGCTTTTCCAGGGCCTAAAGTTGGACCTAGACTCATCGGTTGGCCTCTGTCTACAGCTGTCTTTTAGGAGTCCGTCTACAGTATAATGGTTGAAGTCCATACATGGGAAACAGAAAGGCAACTGCTACCAGACCTCAAAAGTGATATATAAATAAAAATTGGAATGTGGAAAGTAAAGGAGATGGAGTTAGTGTGAGGGAGTTAATTTCTCATCCTTCAGATTAAGGAGATAAGAGATACTGTCTAAAACGGACACATTTATGGTGTTGCATAAAAGGATAATGGTGATCACAGGAGAACTAAAGACAAGCTGTTGATGGCAGTTGCCTCTGGGGAGAGGAGTTGGAGAAAGAAGAGAAAGTTTCACTTTCATTTGTTTGTCCTTCTGAGCTTTTCATTAAAAAAAAAAAAAAAAAGAACTTAACTCTGGCTGTGTAGCTCAGCTGGTTGGAGCATCGTCCTGATACCCCAAGGTTGTGGGTGTGATCCCTGGTCAGGGCACGTACAAGAATCAACCAATAAATTCGTAAGTGGAACAACAAATCAATGTTTTTCTCTCTCTCCCTTCCTTTCTCTCTAAAAACCAATTTTAAAAAATTAGTGTTCTGTAACTTGTCTAAAAAGTTTAGGTGTTTTTGTTACAAGGGACTAAACAAACGAGAATACCATTCCTTTTGAATGCAAGCATGTGTAGAAGCTGGGTAAAAGTTAGCCTGCAGGTTTCCTCTGTCGGGAAGGACATGAGTCGGCGGGGGGGGGCATGTGATGGTAAACATGGCTTCCTAAGCAGTTGCCTCTGGAAAAAGGGAATTGGAGACAAGCTTGATCAATTTGCCTTTGCGAGCACACAGGGCCCGCCGGCTCACACAGGAGCGCCCCTTCCCTCACATATTCCTAAAGGCAGCTAGCTCCCAGGCAGACACACCCACACACAAGAGGGCACTGGCTCCATGAGGGCCACAGATAACCACCCCCTGACTATCCCTGCAGCGCCATCCTCTGAGCAGGAGCTCCTGCAGGCTCCCTCCGGCGGCAGGTAGATCTAGTCCCAGGCGGCGGAGTGCAGCAGGTTCTCAGATGAGTGTGACTCTGGTCCCGTTCCAGAGCTGGCCACAGAGCACAGATCACAGCCCACCCCCTCAGGACCCAAGCAAGGGCCCTTCCTCCTCCCGGGGCATGGCGCCCTCTTGACCTTTGCTCATTTGCAGTTTATGTCACACTGAGCCTCTGCACCTGCTAAAAAGGAAAGCTAGGGCACAGCTCAGCTCAGGAGTGCCATTCACTGGCAGCCAGGAGCCAGGAGTCTGGCATTTCCAGTACCTGTTGTTGATCTTTGACCCCTGCCCCTCCCACCTTTCTTCCCTGCTGGTCTCTCCTGTTTTCGGTTTTCTCACTTCCCTGGCAACCTAGCTCTGACTGGTTTATCCCAGCTCCTTGCCCAGGCCATTCCTTCCATGCTGTCTTCAAACCCTGATTCCTGCACCTCTCCCAACCCTGACAGGGAGAACTCAAGTAAGAAGGTCCAGTGGGCTTCTGGGAAGAGGAGGACGTCATCCACAGACTCAGAGTCAAAGTCCCACCCCGACCCGTCCAAGGCGCCCAGGTCCCGGAGACCGAGCCGGCTGACGGTGAAGTATGACCGGGGGCACCTCCAGCGCTGGCTGGACATGGAGCAGTGGGTGGATGCGAAGGTTCAGGAGCTCTTCCAGGTGGGTAGCGTGGGGGAGGGTGGGGAAGGTGGGGAGCTTGCAGCCTGGCCAGGGAGCTGAGAAAAGGTCTGCTCTGAAACCTCAGGAGGAGCTGGAGGGTGGATGTGAGATGCTCCCATGGAGAGAACGCTTTTCCCAACAGGCGAAGCGTGAGTTTGCAGCCCAGAAATCTGGCCCCTCTGGTCTGGGCTCTGCCTCTAACTCTCTTCATAGTCCAGGGCATGTCTTTTACCATCTCTGGGACTTGGTTTCCTCATCTATAAAACAGGACTGTAAATGCCTGTCAATATCTCCTTTTAGGACGTTTTGGTGCTCAAGCGAGATAATAGAAGGGCTATTTTTTTCTTTTATGTCTTTTTTTTATTCTTATCCTCAACATACATACACGTCTAGAGCTACATTGTCCAGTACTGTAGATATCAGCCATGTGTCGCTACTTAACTTCAAATTAATGAAAATTAAATAATATTAAAAGTTCAGTTTCTCGGTCTCACTACCCATTAGCCCCATGTGGCTAGTGGCTTCATACTGTCAGCACAGATATAGAACATTTTCATCATTTCAGCATGAATAGAACGGGACCAGAACATCCGAGCAGCCAGCACGAACGCCAGCAGCTGGTCACTGACTACCCTCAGTCCCCCCCGGGCCAAAGGATGGGTCTTGGCCCCTTGTTGTGGGAAGCACTTAGCTATCTCCACGTTGGGATCCTAATGAGTAGCGACTGCTGCTTTAACAAGAAAACATTTTGAGCACTTAAGCACCTGCTGGGCACAGGGCCAGCATTTGATGTGCGTTATTTCATTCGGCACCTGCCCGACTCCATTAGGTAGCTACTGTTTCCCCCTGGAGGACATGGAAGCTTAGCGATGTTGAGTAGCTAGGAAGCTACGGTACTCAGGGCTGCAGAGCCTGAGCACTTACTTGCGCATCTAGTGGTTCTCCATACACCTGAAGTACTTCAGGAAAAAAACCAGTGCCCTGGCTGCACCTCAACTGAATTTAATTAGAATCTACTAGGGTGAGGCCCGGGCACTGGTCTTTTTTATAAGCTCCACAGTTGACTCTAGCATGTAGCTGGCGGAGAGCCACTGCACCAAGCCAGAAACTAGAAGTCTCACTTGTCCTCATACCATGGTCCTTATTTCTCCTCTTTCTTGACTCAGGTCCTTTCTCTCTCTCTCTCTCTCTCTTTCTCTCTGTCTCTTGTGGGAAACAAGGGCCTGTGATTCTTCCAGGAAAGGGCTGTGCCAGCAGCTCCGTGGTTGGGTGGGGAGGAGTCGTCCATCTGGCCCAAGCTGCCTTGTGAGGCTCCCTGGGTCCTGTGTCTGCTTGGTCCAGGTGTTGACCTTGTTCCCTGCTGCATCCTGGGGTAGGTGGCAGATGTCCTGACGCCGGGAGCGGGAGAGGCAAACTTTCTTGGCCTGAGTCTGCTCTGACCTTGCAGAACACCTCCCCTGCCCGTCACTACTGCCAGCACCCTCTCTCTCTGGATCAGTTTCAATTTCAGATTGTTGTGAACTTGCATGAAAAGTCTCATATTTCAGACACCGCAGGGCAAGTCCTTCGGGGCATCAAAGAGAGACACTAGACAAAACTTGTTTTGCAAGATTAAGGGGACGGGCGGGGGGGGGGGGGGGGGAGGGAGCTGTACAATAACGAGCTTATAACATTTCCAATAGGACATGTAGGAGGACCGCTCCCAGGCAATGACTGAAATAAAATACCTGGCCTGCAGTTGCCATGGTTATTGTCCAAAGGTGCAGGTGGCAGTTCCTCTCCTAATCCCTGCTCTTTTCATCCGGAAGCAGCCAGGTGACTGGGGAAGCCCCAAGTGGCTGATCACCTTGGGCAGAGATGGAAGCAATAGAGCCTCCAGACTTACCCGACCCCAGTTCTAACTTCACAGGGCCCCTCGCCACCCACCAGGGCTCTCCCTTACATGTCCCCCTTAAATGGCACAACTGGAAATGCTTCCAGGGATGCATCACTACTTGTTTAGTTTTTTTAATGGGACCCAACCTTCCTTTGATGAAGGGCCCCACCTCTTCTCACGGGGTGTACAGCCTGCTTTGGGGTCTTCAGAGGAAGCAAGTCTGGATTCAACCCAGACAGATTTGGGGTGCTAGCACTCCTGTGGTCCCGAGGGAGAGTGTGGATTTGGCCACTAAGCAGGGGCTTAAACACCCATAAGTTTCTCCTGTTTTAAAAACACTCTCGTTCATCAACGGGCCCCACTCTAATTACCATCCCATAGTTCATGTCTCCTTTACAATAAGATTACTTAAAGGATTTGTCCATACTCACATCCTTTACTTACCTTTCCCCTTCCTATCACCATTCAAACCATCAAAATCTGGCTTCTGTTCCCCCAATTCTATGGAGAGCTCTTGGCAAGGTCACCAATCATTGCCTTGAGCTAAATCCAATGCACACAGCAGCAGGGGAGACACTGTTGATCACTCCAGATTTTGAAACATTCCTTTCCTATGGATTTCATGACACGATCTTTTCCTGCTGGCAGCTAGCATTTTGATGCAGCTCTTTTAGTGTGGTGAGATTTTAAGAAACAGTCTGTTAACCTTCCAAATTTAAAAAAGTATTGCCAATGAATTTGTGAAAACAGACATTGTTAGTTCATCTCTGAACCTTACTCCGTGGCTGGTCCCAGGGCAGAGGGATCAGGAGTAAGGGGCCTGAGTAGGGAGTGGAGCTGAGAAAGGGGCCGTGTCTGGCAGCATCTGGCAGGACACTGCCACATGTAATAAAGAGTCACAAGCTTACCGCACTTGTTCATCTCAGCAGGAGTTGTTTGATATATCTGCTCATTTTCTGAGAATTAAAAAAAAACTGGAGGGAAAAAATATGGATTATGATAGGAGCCCATTTCTCAACTCCAGACGGCAGGAGCAATCTGACTCTGGGTAATATATGTTCCTTATATTTAATATAACATCATAAGTCATACAACATTTTTTGGTGGCTCAGTTGGTTGAATACACAAGAAGTTGTGTATTCCATTCCTGGTCCAGGTGTATAAAGGAGGCAATCAATCTCTTTCTCTCTCTCTCTCTCTTTCTGTCTCTATCTCTCTTCCTTTCTCAAATCAATAAACATATCCTCAGGAGAGAATAAAAATATGTGTTTGTTTGGTTTTTTTTGCTGCACTAATACTTTTTTAGAGGCAGAATTCTAATCACTAGAATATATCTTTATTATATTCTATATAACTAGAGGCCCGGTGCATGAAATTCGTGCATGGGAGGGTGTGCCCTCAGCCCAGCCTGCAACCTCTCCAATCTGGGACCCCTTGGGGGACATCCCTCTCATAATCCTGGACCGCTATCTCCTAATCACCCACCTGCCTGCCTGCCTGGTCATCCCTATCTGCGCCCCCCTGCTGGCCTGATCGCCCCTCACTGCCTCTGCATGCCAGCCTGATCGCCCCTAACTGCCCCCTGCTACTGGCCAGGTTGCCCCCAACTGCCCCCTCCCTACTGACCTGGTCACTCCTTACTTCCCCCCCATTGGCCTGGTCACCCCTTACTGCCCCCCCTGCTGGCCTGGTTGCCCCCAACTGCCCCCCTCTGCTGGCCTGGTCACCCCCAACTGCACCCCCCTGCTGGTCTGGTTGCCCCTAACTGTCCCCCCACCCCCCTGCCGGTCTGGTCGCTTCTTACTGCCCCCTCTGCCAGTCTGGTCACCCCCAACTGCCCCCTCTGCCAGCCTGGTCGCCCCCAACTGCACCCCTCTGCTGGTCTGGTTGCCCCTAACTGTCCCCCCACCCCCCTGCCGGCCTGGTCGCCTCTTACTGCCCCCTCTGCCAGTCTGGTCACCCCAAACTGCCCCCCCTGCTGGCCTGGTTGCCCTCAACTGCCCCCCTGGCCAGCCTGGTCACCCCTCACAGCCCTCCCGCCAGCCTAGTCGCCCCACGCAGCCTGCTTGTTCAGTCGTTTGGTCGTCCCTCACTAACCCCCTGCAGCTTGGTCATAGGCAGCCATCTTGTGAGTGTGTGAGGGTTAATTTGCTTATTATCTCTTTATTAGATAGGATAATCTCACCCCCCCCAACTTCTGGGATTTCAAATTACATGTATGCTAGACCACTTGATATTATCCCACAGGTCACCAAAGCTGTTCTGTTTCTTTTCTCCCACTGCCCAGGTTTTTTTCTTTCTGTACTTCATTTTGACCAGTTTCTTTTGCTATATCTTCCAGTTCATCTGATCCTTTTTTCTGCAAGTATGCTGTTATTTCCATCCAGTAAATTTTTCATTTAAAATATTGTATTTTTCATCTCTAGATGTTTGGTTCTTTCTCATATCTTTTATTTTCATCATTACTGTGTTCATGTTTTCCTTGTCTAATTCCATCATCTCTGTCATTTGTGGGTCTGATTCTATTAATTGATCTTCCTTCTAGTTTATAGGGAACATTTTCTGCTTCTTGGCATGACTATCTATCTGGATACTGAATTGTATTGTAAATTTTATGTTGTTGAGTAACTGGATTTTTTTTTTCTTCCTTTAAGAATGTTGGGCTTTATCTTAGTAGGTAGTTTGGTTACTTGAGGTTCTGCCGAGGCTTGTTTTTAAGCTCTGTTAGCATTAGTCTAGAGTCGCCTTTAATCTAGAGAATAATTTACCCCCGTAGTGAAGCATGGCCCCTCAGAGGTCTCTGCTGAATCCCTGCATGATCAGTGCTGACTGTCGCTCTGGCTGGGTGGACTTTGACTTGTCTCCACACCTCTGTGAGGTCTGGGAACTGTTCACTCTGTGCTTTCGGAATCTCATGGTGCCTGGCTTCATGAAGTTTTACCCTAGGCATGTGCACTTGTGTTCAGCAGACTTAAGAGACCCCTTATGCAGATTTCTGAAGGTTATTTTCTTTCTAACTCCCTCCTCTTCAGAACTTTGTCCAGCAGATTCCAGTCACCTCAACCCTGAATTCTGATCTCTGTCATGTCAACGTAGCAAGACCACTGTGCTCTGCTTGGATTCTCTCTCTCTGCTCTCTTGTCTGGAAATGGCCTCTAGAAAGCAATTCAGGGCAAGTATGGAGTTTACCTTTTTCATTTCCCTTCTCTCGCAGGCATTCTTGTCTAATATCTGAAAACACTGTTCATATATTTTTGTCTAGTGTTCTAGCACTTATGTTGGGAGAATAAATCTGGTCCCTGCTACTCCATCATGACCAGAAGTTAAATATCTGGCTAACTCCTACCAGCCTTCTGGTCTCGGATTAGAGGTCACTTCCTTCCAGAAAGCCTTCCTAAACCCCAGGCTTGGTTCGGTTCCCCTTCCATATTCTCCCCAAGTATCTCATCAGCGTGCTTACCACCCTAGTGCAACTGCTTTTTCATATGTCTGTATCCCTCAGGAGACTATAAGCTTTTCAAGGGCAGGATCATCATGTCTGTCTGTCTTGCTATTATAACCCCAATATTCATCACAATGCTTGGTGTACAGCATTCTCTCAATAAATATGCATTAAATGAGTGAATGCTGAATCAGATGAGCTAGAAACCAAGGAAGCAAAGGGGAAGTCTGGAGCTTAGGATGAAAGAGCTATCTTAGATGCCTAGCACTGTTTGTTTTGAAAAAGGAATGGAAGGACCAAAACTGTTAATTTGTCTCTGAAATCAATAAAAGGTATTTTTTTAAAATCAATTATAGAATAAAATTGGCCCGTTTGAAGTCTCCATGTGAATGTACTTTGCTATAAGGTATCCAGTACCCCAGTCAAGATATGGGACATTTCCATAGTCCAAAAAGTTGCTCCAATGTCCTCTACCTTTAGTTAAATTACACAACTTGATTACTTAGTACATCTGTTCCTATCATGTCTATGAAAACAATGCCAGATTCTAAGATAGCCCTTTCACCCTACTTGTAAGCTCTTTGCGGGCAGGTTCTTTGTTTTGTTCACTGAGTTTCCCAAGTTCACAGCGCCAGGTTAATAGTAGCCAATTGACACATATTTATTATTATCCCAAAGGATTAATAACCAAATGAAAAAGGTGAGGTTTGGAAAGGCGAATATAAACTATCCAAATCAGTATGGAAAGAACTTGTTAAGCATAACATAAAAAGGAAGCAAAACCTAAACTGGAAAAGATCATTAGATTTAACTATTTAAACACATACACCTATTTCCCCAAACCCTTCTGGACAAATGGTATTTCTATCATATGTGGAATGCTAGGGCTAATCTTGTTTTTTTTTTTTTAATCAGTAAGAAAAAACTGAACAAGCTAATAGAAAAATGGGTAAGGCAGCAGTTCTTGAAATGTGTTCTGGTGACTCCAGGGGTTCCCAAGACCATTTCAGGGGGCCTGTGATTATTTTCACAATAATACTAAGATGTTGTTTGCCTTTTTCACTATGTGGACACTTGTACTGATGGTGCAAAAGCAATGATGACTCTTAGAATGAATCAATTAAGTGACACCACGCACCCCTATGCTCGTTGCAGTGTTATTTACAATAGCCAAGATCTGGAAGCAGCCCAAGTGTCCATTAGTAGATGAGTGGATAAGGAAGCTGTGGTGTATTTACACAATGGAATACTACTCGGCCATAAAAAGAAGGAAATCTTACCTTTTGCAATAGCATGGATAGCTCTGGAGAGTATTATGCTAAGTGAAATGAGCCTGTCAGAGAAAGTCAAGTACCATATGAGTTCACTTATATGTGGAGTCTAATGAACAAAATTAAAAAACAAAATAGAAATAGACTCATAGATATAGAGAACAGACTGACAGATGTCAGAGGGGAGGGGGGCTGGCAGGCTGGGTGAAAAAGGTGAAGAGATTAAGAAAAAAAGAAAAGAAGCCTCATAGACACAGACAACAGTATGGAGATTACCAGAGGGAAAAGGGATGGGAGGGTGTAGAAGAGGGTGACGGGGGGATAAATGGTGATGGAAGGAGACCTGACTTGGGGTGGTGAACACACAATACAATATACAGATTGTAGAATTGTACACCTGAAATCTATTTAACTTTATTAACCCGCGTCACCTCAATCCATTAAAAAGAAAAGTGACACCAGCCTGTACCAGTAATCATGTTCTTCACCACCACACCACTGCCACTTACGGAAGTCCTTGGTGATGCAGCAAAAATTACTAAGTTTATTAAATCTTGGCCCTTGAGCTCACATCTTTTTTAAAAATAGACTTTGGTTTTTAGAGCAGTTTTAGGTTCACAGCAGAAGTGAGCAGAATGTACAGAGTTCCATTATTCCCGTTCCCACACATAGTACACAGTCTCCCTTACTATCAAGGTCTCCCACCAGAGCAGTGCACTTGTTATAGCTGATGAATTTATACCAGCACATCGTAATCACCCAAAGTCCATATTTTATATTAGGATTCACGCTTGGTGTTATACATTCTATGGTTTTGACACATGTATATTGACATGTATCCACTATTATAATATCATACAGAATAGTTTCACTGCCCTGAACACTCTCTGTGTATCACCTATTCATCCCAGCCTCCCCGCAACTCCTGGCAACCATTGATCTTTTCACTGTTTCTATAGTTCTGCCTTTTCTAAAATATCATATAGTTAGAATTATACAATATGTAGACTTTTTAGATTGGCTTCGTTCACTTAGTTATATGCACTTAAGGTTCCTCCGTGTCTTTTCATGGCTTGACAGCTCCTTTTGTTTTAATGCTGAGAAATATTCCATTGGCTGGATGTACCACGGTTTATTATCCTTTTACCTAAGGAAGGACATCTTTGTCACATCCAAGTTTTGGCAATTCTGAATGAAGTTCCTATAAATATTTGTGTGCAGGTTTTTGTGTGGAAATGTTTTCAAGTCATTTGGGTAAATACCAAGGATCACAATTGCTGGATTGTATGGTAAGACTGTGTTCAGTTCTGTAAGAAACAGGCTGTCTTCCAAAGTGACTGTACCCCTTTGTATTCCCACCAGCAATGAGTGAGAGTTCCCATTGCTCTGCATCCTCACCAGCATTTGGTGTTGTCAGTGTTTCAGATTTCTTGCCATTTTAATGGGTGCCCAGTGGTATCTAATTGTCAGTTTAATTTGCAATTCCCTAATGACATGTGTTACTGAGTATCTTCTCAGCTGTTATTTGCGTATCTTCTTTGGTGGGGCATCTGGTCAGATCTTTTGCCCATTTTAAATTGTCCTTTTCTTATTTATGAGTTTCAAGAGTTCTTTGTATATTTTGGGTAACAGTTTTTTATCAGATATATCTCTTGCAAATATTTTCTCCCAATCTGTGGCTTGTCTTCTTATTCTCTTGAGCTTCTTTCATCTTTAATTTTATAACTTCTGTAGTTAAATTTTTTTCAATGACCATAACTTAAAAAATATCTTTATTGATTTTAGAGAGGAAGGGAGAGGGAGAGAGAGAGATAGAAGCATGATGAGAGAGAGAATTATTGATTGCACGCCCCCTACTGGAAATCAAGCCTGCAACCCTGGCATGTGCCCTTGGCCAGAATCGAATCTAGGACCTTTCAGTCTGCAGGCTGACTCTCTATCCATTGAGCCAAACCGGCTAGGGCGACTGTAATAACTTTTAAAGATAGCTTTATTTCACATACCATATAATTCACCACTCAAAATGGGAAATTTCATATTTTAAATATCTTCAAATGGTTGTGCAACCACCACAATCTAATTTTAGGCCATTTCATCACCCCCCAAAGAAACCCTGAACCCATTAGCAATCATACCTCATTCCCTACCGCCACCATTCCCACCCCTAAGAAACCACTAATCTACTTTATGTCTCCATAGATTTATCTATTCTGGACATTTCATACAAATTGAATCATATAATATGTAGCCCTTTATAACTGGTTTCTTTCACTAACAATGTTTTCAAGGTTCATCCATGTTGTAGCATGAATCAGTGCTTTGTTCCTTTTATTGATGAGTAACATTGCAGGGCTACATCATATTTCATTTATCCATTCATCAGTTGATGGGCATTTGGGTTGTTTTAGACTTTTTGGCTAGTATAAATGGTGCTGCTATGAACGTTCATGTGCAAAGTTTTTGTGTGGACATATGTTTTCCTTTCTTTTGGGAATAGACCTAGGAGTGGAATTACTGGGCCAGATGATAAATATATATTTAACATTTTAAGGAACGACCAAACTTCTCCAAAGCAGCTGTACCATTTACATCTCTACCAACAATATATGTAAAACTTTTGAAATTAAAACAGACACTCTTTTTAAAGACTTTTAGGGCTGTTCCGATAGATCACAGTAGGTGCCCAGTAACTGTTATGGAAGGATGAATGCATGGTTTGAATAAGACGAGAGGAACTGAACATGGAAAATAGAGTGGGGGGCCGAAACCGGTTTGGCTTAGTGGATAGAGCGTCGGCCTGCGGACTGAAGGGTCCCGGGTTCGATTCCGGTCAAGGGCATGTATCTGGGTTGCGGGCACTTCTCCAGTGGGGGATGTGCAGGAGGCAGCTGATCGATGTTTCTCTCTCATCGATGTTTCTGACTCTCTATCTCTCTCCCTTCCTCTCTGTAAAAAATCAATAAAATATATTTAAAAAAAAAAAAAAGAAAATAGAGTGGGGGATGGGTGAGCCCCTGACAGTAACTTTCACTCCAGCACTAGCTGGCCAGGCCTCTCTGAGCCCCATGTGATTCCCAAACAGGATCAACCAACCCCTTCTGAGCTGGAGATTGACCTGGAAGCCCTCATGGAACTATCCACAGAGGAGCAGAAAACTCATTTGGAGGTAGAATGGGGGCTGGGCCCTGGGGCCAGGGGTTGGGGTTGGAAGCTGGGCTTGGACTAAGGGGAAGCTAGGAACCCAGGCTCTGCCTCCTTGGGTGGCCTGGGAGAACCACATCAGAGGGAATTCCTGGAAGACTGAGTGGGGGCTTGTGGGAAAGTGCGGTGGCTCAGGGACCCACTGTCTGCTCTCTTCTACCCAGGCTCTTCTCCGAGACTGTCCCAGCCCCACAGAGGTAAGGACGCTTTGCTGTTGTGGGGGTAAGAGGAGGCCCAGTGGGGAGGAAACTAACGAAAGGAAAGCTTGGGCCTGCGTCGTTCCCCCCTTCCCTGGCTCTAGGACAGCGGTTCTCAACCTGTGGGTCGCGACCCCTTTGGGGGTCGAATGACCCTTTCACAGGGGTCGCCCAAGACCATCAGAAAACACATATATAATTACATATTGTTTTTGTGACTAATCACTATGCTTTAATTATGTTCAATTTGTAACAATGAAAATACATCCTGAATATCAGATATTTACATTATGATTCGTAACAGTAGCAAAATTATAGTTATGAAGTAGCAACGAAAATAATGTTATGGTTGGGGGTCACCACAACATGAGGAACTGTATTAAAGGGTCGCGGCATTAGGAAGGTTGAGAACCACTGCTCTAGGAGCTGGGGTAAGGGAGATACTAGGGAGGACATATGGTGGTGGGTGTGACTCCATGCCTTAATCTCACCCATTTCTCCTCAGCCTTTTATCTCCGAACTGCTCAGTCAACTCAAGAAACTCCGGAGACTCAGTCGGCCTCAGAAATAAGACTTGTGACACTACATTTAGCAGCCTCAGCACCGTCAGGCCTGCCCCGAGCCTCTGATTCCGGGCTGAGAGGGAAGTGGCTCCTTGGAACATGGACAAGGAACATTGGAAGATGAGGTCACACGTGCCACCCCTGTTGTATGTACAGTCGCAGCTAGTTCTTGTCAGTTGGGCTTTCTGGGAGCCAGTCATGGCTGCTGCCCAGTGTTTTCCTTGACAGCCAAGTGGATAAAACCTTTCGGAGTCCCAGCTGAATGGAGTGTGGAGCATGTCTGTGCTGAGGGGTGGGAGAGGGAGAGGGTGAAGTGATATACCAGGAGGCGAGCATCCTGGCACACTCTATCCTCTCACCTCACCATCCAACCATCCATCCACCCATCCATCCAATCTTTGAGAATTTAAAAATGAAGGTCACAGTTCTGCTTCAGAGATCATAATCTAGCAAGGCCCTGAGGCTAAGACACAAAGCATCCTGTCATCATCAACAGGGGCCCAAGTGGCAAAGACCAGTTTTGAATCCCCGAGGAGGCAACAGGAAAAAGCTGCCTGGGTCTGGGACATCAGGGAAGGCTGAAACCTCCTCCCCCGCTAAGAGATGCCGGAGGCCTCAGACTGAGGACTCTTTCTAGAGCTGGCTGCAGCCGGGGGAAGAGAAAAAGCAGGGGCTAAGCAGAGGGGGATAGGGTTCAGGCTAAGAGGCCAGGAGGGAGTTGCTAGCAACAGACACGAGTCAGAACAGCAGGCAGGTTGGCACAGGAGCCCTGGAAGTTGGTGCCCGTTGGGAATAAGGCAGGAAGCAGGGCGTGCATCCATTGTTTGTGCACGCAGCGTCTGAGTCCTAGAGAGGCCGAGAATCACGATAGTGGGGGCTGGGGCTAAGGTGGGCTGCCCAGAGCAGGACCCACACTTCCGTTCAGTTTTACAAATTCATGCCTCTGGTCTCCGAGGCCTCCGAGATGGGTGGTACTGTTCCTGACGGGAGAATCTTACCTGAGGGCTCAACCCTCTCCCTCACCCTAGGACTGGATTTACAGCCTACTTTGCTTTTGCCGCCTCTCCAAGGACCCAGGCTCAGGGCCACAGGTTCTAGAGATCAACGACGCTGGGCCCAAGGACTCAGCATACTTTATTTGATACATTCAGTGCTGGGGCGCTTGAGCAGGTTTCAAGGCTCAATCTTAGATTCAGTCTGGTCTTTCCAGTCCAGGCTTTGCTGGTGGAGGCTCCTGACTTCTGCCTTCCCTCGGCTCCTCCAGTCGCCATTCCCGATGCAGAATCCTTCCCCCTTCATGGGCATCGAGGCTCAGGAAAGGGGGCACCCATGAGCAATCTAGCTTGAAATGCTCTCCCATCAGATGCCCCGAGTCTGGGCCTAGAGCGGGTGCCCCGGCCTGTGTGACTGCCTGTAGGACGACCTTCCTGCGAGGCCAGGGTGTGCTCAGTGTCCTTGGCCTGCATGTGGGGGGTGGTAAGCAGATGTCTGGTGCTCTTTAAGTTCAAAGGCATCATGGCCTTCCCTGTGGAAAAGAGAAACAGGTCAGGGATCACAGGCAGCCCTTGGGCATCCCAGTCCCACAGAACATTCTAGCAGCTGCACCCACCGGAAGCAGCGGACACAGTAGAGGTCTCCGTCGCAGCCAGCACAGCGCAAGGTGGCATCCTCATTGCAGATGCAGCACCAGGGGAGCTGCTCTTCCTCAGCTTCAGGCCTGGGGGCCAGAGCCTGGGCCTTCGGGGAGCAGAGAGGAATGGGGGAAGTGAGGTCCCTGAGGGAGTGTGGGGGGGCTGCTGCTGCCAGAGTAGTCAGCCGGTCAGCAGGGAGGCTGCGGAGGCCCCTCATATGTGTCTGGGGCTTTTCTCACCTGAGGCTCTGCCCTGCAGGATGTGGCCGGGGGTTGCAGTGCTGGTTCTGCCGGGATGTTAAAGCCACTTGCCTCATCCAGGGCGGCTTCTTCAGTGAGCTGTGGACAGGGCAGAGGGTACAGCTCCCTGCTCGTGGCCCAGGTCCTCCCCCACACCCCGAAGGTGCTGTGGCCTTAGCTTCTCAACCCATCTTCCTTTATCTGTTGCCTATGGCTGCTGACACCCCATCTCAAAGGGCCAGGGGGCAGGTCTGGGTCAGGGACAGAGGGACCCCAGCTGGAACAGCAGCAGCAGAGCGACTGGCTACTGAGTCCCAGATGGAGGCAGGACAAATGGGGCCAGGTGGGCGGTGGGACAGTGAGGTAGGGGCTGGACAAAGGGTGGCCAGTGGGTAAGGCAGGCCCACCTGCTGCAGGACTCTCTGGATGGCCGTCTCCTCATCCTCATCATCATCACTGTCTGGGAGGCGATAGTCTTGGAGGGTCACTTGAAGAGGGAGAGAGGTAGGAGAGGGGAGGAGTGAGGCTGAGAGAGTTCGCCGGAGCGGCTATACTCTTGCTCCCAGGAGCTGGTTTGGTTTCCAGCGGCAGTTGGTCCAGAGCTGAGCAGTCTCTGTAGCCATTCTGATCGGACCTCCCCGTCCCTGCTCCACCCGGCAGGGCTCGGGGTCAGGAACAGAAGGCTCTGCACCTGAAGGGACTGGGGGTCCCCTGCCCCTGATGGCTGCCACTTTTTTCTCAGCCACTGCTTTGCTCCAGTACTTTCCTTGTGGCTCTGGGCAGAGCTCGATAGACCCCCGGACACAGAGACCTCCCCTGGCAGCCCTTTCACAGAACTTGGCCTGGGTGTGGGGGCTGCTCCCCAGATTCTACCTCTGTCAGGGTCCCGTCCCTGAAGCACAGCCAGGCGCTTGGCAAGGTCCAGGATCCGCTCTTGCCTCGTGTTCTCCTCCCGCAGCTCGACTGCCGCTTCAGCCAGCAGCCTGCTCTTCTCCCCATCCAGGGACCGGGTGGCCTGCCCCTTGGAATTAGCACTCAGGCCTCCTGGCCAACCCTGGTTGAGGTCATTCTGAATAGCGGCAGCTGGAAGGAGCAATGCAGTCAGGGAGGCAGAGATATTCCAAGACCTCTCATCAGAAGCCACTGAGCCCATTTCTCAACCTTTTATAAAAACCTGCAGAGCATCAGCTTTTTGTTCAGCACTAGCTCCCATGGTTTATATTACAGACGAAATATCAGGTGGGCTGGGATGGATGTAGTTGGAAAAAACCGCTACGATTACCAGTGTTTTATATTGGGGGGAAAATGGTCTGAGAATCAGTGCCCCAAATAATCAGGTTATGGGGAGGCCGAAGTCCAGCCAGTGTCTCTGCCTTACAGGCTGAATCAGCATTTCCAGGGAGCAGCACAGAGAGGACATGGCAGAACCTGAGGTCTTATGTATAAGTGACGAGGCTGGAAGAATTTTGACAGAGTGGGTGTGGCTTTGACATGTTCCCTTTAGCTCACTATCAGACCAAAAGGTTTGAAAGCAGACAGCTTTGGGTTCAAGTCCTAGCTTTGTTATTTAATGGCTGTGTGATCTTGATCAAGTTCCCTAAGCTCACCAGGCCTCAGCTGCCTCATTTATAGAACACGGATAATGAGAGTATGTACCTCACAGGATTACTGAGGATGTTCGATGTGATTGTGTCTCTAAAGCAGGGCTTCTCGATGGTGGTTCTACTGACATTTGGGGCAGGAAAATCCTTTGCTGTGGGGCTGTCCTGTGCATTACATGATGTTTTAGCGGCATCCTTAGCTTCTGCTCACTACATGCCTGTGGTACATTCCGAGTTGTGACAACTAAAAAGTCTCCAGACACTGTCAAATGGGCCACGGAGGGGAAATCATCCTTAGTTGAGAACCGCTGCTTGGAAGCCTTTGAATAGCACAGTCCAATATGAGTTTTATAATGATGGAGACATTCCACATCATGGTTTATATTTGTGCAGTCCAAGATGGTAGCCATGAGCCACATGTGGAATCGAGCACTTGAAATGTGGCTAGTACCACTGAGGGGACAGAATGTTACATTTTATTTAATTTTAATTAAATTTAAGGAGCTTCTTCCTCCTCCTTATCATCATCATTGCAAAGAACACTCACTGAGCACTTACTACAGCCAGGCAGGGTCCTAAGAACTTATTGGACAATCGCATTTATTCCTTGAAACTTCCCCACAGGGTAGGTTTTAACACACACACGCACACACCCCTCCATTTTACAGATGAGGAACGTGAGACTTTCCCAGGATCACACAGCTGGTAAGTGGGAGGAGAGAGAATCACTGACTGATTCTAAAGTCCACACACTATCCACTAGGCTTACACTGGCTCCCATAGAAGTAAACACTCAATAAATGGTAGCTCTTACAATGTTGATTGTTCTCTGATTTACATGTATTCACCTCCCAGTGGGCAGCAGAGCCTCTCCCACCTGGGGAGAAAGGAGGGCAGGTCCCTGGGGCCCAAGGGGAGAAGTTACCTGGGCTTCCTCCTTCCCAGCTCTCATCAATAGCCACTTCTGCCGTGAGCTGTGTCAGCAGATCCTGCGCCTGCTGGGCCTGGGTCCTGGTGTCTGGGGGCTGATGCGCCTGCTCAGAGGAGGGAACTCAGTGGGGATCAGGACGGGGAAGCCACACCATAAGGTCCAGAGCAGTCTGTCAGTGAATGCTGAGGAGTCCCCAAAGCTCAGCGAAAGGGGCTAATCCAGGGCCCACATAATTGAGTAGGTCTGACCATCCCCAACCAGACGGGGCCACTCTTTCCTGCCCCATCCAATCCTGCTTGTCCCTGGTTCCCTGGCCTGGCGGCAGACCTGAGGATCCGGGGGTGGGAGTCAGAGGCTTGCCAGCTCCTATGGAGTACATAAGCACACATGTACTAGGACCCCCTTCCCTCTCAAGCCACAGCACTCACCGGCTGGGGGGTCCGAGAAGGTGGAACTCTGCCCTGCAGTGCGGCAAGCCGTGCCTCCATCTCCTGGGTGGAAGGGATGGAACTCTGGGTTTCGCCCCTCAGTGCGGCTAGCCTGGCTTCTATCTCTGCCTGTGAGGGCACTGACTCTGCAATTGGCATGGGGGAAACCTGTAAGGTCCAGAGGAATCCCAGTCCCAGGAGCCCCAGATAGTGTCCTTCAGGCCAGCGGTCGCCAACCTTTCGGACCTCATGGACCACCAGTGGTCCGCAGACCACCAGCTGGCGACCGCTGCTTTAGGCCGCCCCGCCTGCCCCTGCTCACTGGGCTTGTTCTCCTGGCGGAGCCGCGCTAGGCGCTCAGCGATGACTTGGTCTTGTGGGGTCAGTCCATGGCTCTGGGGAGTGCTGGACTTCTGCTTGGCTTCTAAGGCTGCCACACGCCTGGCAGGATATGAGATAAAGACTCTTGAAGAAGGCAAAAGGGAGGGGCGAAGGCACCCCCTCACTTTTCCCCATTCAAATCATTTCTAGGCATCTAGGAAGGCCTCCAATGGACAATCTTCTGTGGTCCTCATGCATGTTGGCCTGCAGCTCAACCCAGCTGCCCAGCCAGAGGGTCCAACAGAAAGGATGTGTATCAAGAACTGTTTCTGGGGAGAGGGCTCATGAGCTGCTGTCTGATCCCAAGAGGGCAGGTAGGAGCCTTCAAGATGGATAGTCTCCTGGCCCTGTGTTCATCTGATCGAGAGGCTGGGAAGAGAGTCCATCCCTGGGGCTTCCTTGCCCTTTCCCCCATCCACATTTGTCTCTGTCCCTTCAGCACTTACTTCTTATAGTTCTGAGGTGGTGACCACTTGGAGGCACTGGCAGGAGAAGATCCTCTATAGAGAAGAAATCGGGTTTCAGAAGCCCTGACATCTGCCAGTCAGTGCCCCCACCCCAAACACTTCCTGGGCGGACCTCGGGCCACAGGGCGCAGGCTACCAGGGTTGGCCAGCTGCCTGCTGCCGTGGCTGGCTGAATCCTCGCCCTTGTCAGCTTCTCACCTGGTCAGGGCCTCGTGGCACTGTTTGCAGACTTTCTGTTGGGTGTTTCCGGCCCGGGGCACTGCTGCACTGAAGCTAAGGCAGCTGGAACAGAAGGCCCGGCCACAGTTCTTACAGCCAATCTACAAGAAACACGAAGCAGGGTTATCCACGTCCCAACCACCCAGGCAGGCTCCTCCCTGGCACTCTCTGAGCACCTAGACGAGAGAAGACGACACTGGAGCTATGAACAGCTGCTGAGAAGAGGATGAGGGGCGGGGACCCTAAGGCCTGGGGAGACCCAAGGGTGGAGTAAAGTGATTCCTCCGTCTCCAGTCTTTTATTCAAATCAGGGAAAGCTTCATACAAAATTCCCATGCTTTCTGTAACCGGTCTTCAACTTCCTGACACCGGGGTATAGAAGACAAACAGGCAAAGCCCCTTGGTCACTGACTCCTCAACAAAGGAGAATCAGAGAAAGTGCAGAGCTCAGGCCTTCTCTGCTCCAGCAAGATGGAGGGAGGCGTGGCTCAGGATGGGACGATAACAATAGCCTCCATTTATTAAGCACTGACTGCGTGTCAGGCGCTAAGCTCAGTATTTAACATTCTTCAGCTGATTTAATCCTCAGAGTGCACACTATTTTACTTAATCCTGATGCCCAGCATTATTGTTCCTATTTTAGGTGGGGGTCAGAGAGGTTACATGACTTGCCCAAACAAAAGTCACCCTCTGAATAAGGCATCAGAGCTCAAATGTGAACGCTGACCACCCTGCCTCCCAAACCCAGGTTTCCAAGAACTGCGCGGACCTGCCTCCCTACGTGCTTCACTCACTCACCCTGTGTGGTTCCTATCTGCTAGTCACTGCTGGGGCACAGCCGGCCTGCAGTTACCAGGGGAGCTCGGGGGTCTGTGCTGGAGGGCGGAGAGGCTCTGCCACGGAGCCCTGCGGGCAGGGGAAAGGTCGGTAACCTAACGGAGGGAACCCGGGAGGGCAGGCCGCCAGACGGCGAGGGCTCCAGAGCAGAGGGAGTAACGGGACGAGGCGTGATGGAGAGTGGGCACAGGGCGGCGGAGAAGCAGCAGGACCGAGGGGAGGAAACAGCCGGACTCTACACTCGGCAGACAGAAAAGTCTAGCTTTCCAACGCCCACAGGAGCGCGCCTTACAGTTTACAGAGAGCTTTTCCCTCCAGCACCTCACTGGACCCACACAAACCGGCAAGCGAGGGAGTGCTAGCCCCATTTTACAGAAATGGGAACTAAGGAGCAATGGCTGAGAATCATACCTTGGAAAAGGCTGGAAGGCACTCTATGGGCTGCAAGTCCCGTGTATTTCCCTCCACTCCGCGTTCTCCCTGGCCCTCCAGCCCACGGGGAGAGAAGGCTCACCTCCTTCTTGAAGAGGGTGAACTTGACAGCGCAGCCGTAGCACCTGCTTTCCATCCTGGCTCCCGGCGTGGCGCGGCACGGCCGGCAGAGTTGCGATCACGCCCGCGAGGTAGGGGCCCGTGGACCTTCACCCAGGTCCGCCCCTGTCCCTCACACCCACTCGCGCGAGCTTGCCACGGCCTCCGGCAGGGAAAGCGCGACCGGCCATCCTGGTTGGAGAGCAACAGCGGCGGGCGCGAGGGCTGCTGGGAATTGTAGTTCATTTACGACAGCCCACTTCCTTCAGTGGCAATCAAGCTTAACACAGAACACTACATTTCCCAGGGGGCTAAGCGCCATTTAGCGGCTCGGGGCCGACAGTGTTCCGGAAGAGTCCCGCGCACGTTTAGACTCTTGGGAGTTGTAGTACGAATCCGGTCAGGGTTGGAACCATGTCGGTGGCCAAGGAGCTCTTACAGATGGACCTGTACGCGCTGCTAGGCATTGAGGAGAAGGCAGCGGACAAAGAGGTGAGAATGGTGGTGAGGAGGGCCGGTCCCGAGAGGTCGGGCGGCCCTTCCTGTCTTGGCGCCTAGACTGGCACCCGCTGTCCAGGTTCGGCCGGGCCCTGGGCCGGTAGCGAGGGGCGGCCTGACGGCCTCAGAAGCTGGGCTCCCAAACCATTCTAGGGCGATCAGAGAGCCTCACGAGGAAGAAGGGGTCACCGAGGAGAGGCTCCTCGTGCGGGATACTGTGCTCTCCCTCTGGCCCTCGTCTAGGAGAGGCTGTGGGTGAGCCTGGGAGGGAATGCTCGCCTCCTCCGTGCGCCTGCGCGGGCTCAGCCTCTCATTCCGCTTGTGCTGTGACTGCGGCTGGAGGCACTTGAGTCTCTCCTGAAGGCTGATTAACTCCGCTTCGAGCAGTGGTTCTCAACCTTCTGGCCCTTTAAATACAGTGCCTCATGTGACCCAACCATAAAATTTTTTTCGCTGCTACTTCATAACTGTAATGTTGCTACTGTTATGAATCGTAATGTAAATATCTGATATGCAGGATGGTCTTAGGCGACCCCTGTGAAAGGGTCCTTCGACCGCCAAAGGGGTCGCGACCCACAGGTTGAGAACCTCTGGCTTACAGCCTAGGACGAATAAAGGCTCAAGGCGCCTCCACTCCCTCTGCACCCCCTCCTCGGGACCTATGACCCTGCCGTCTCTGTTTTCTTTTCCATCCCAGCTCATTGACTCTTTCCAGGTAGCAGGTGCTCAGGTGTTGTCCTTCCAACATGCGCTAGTGGGCCCAAAGCAGGAGGATCCTAGGGAAAGGCAGATGGCCTGAAGTTCCCCAGGAAGGTGTTTACAAAGGCGCCAGGGATTCGGACCCTGTACTGTAGTTAAGATTTCTGTTATCTAACCCTGGATCATGGTTGGTAGTTGTAGCAACGTAGGAAGGGGAGGCAGGTAACTCATCAGCTGAAAATCAATGCCTGCTCTGGCTGGGTAGGGTTAGAGCGTCCTCCAGGTACGCCGAGGCTGCCGGTGGATCCCTGGTCAGGGCACACAAGAACCAAACCATGAATGCGGAGATGAGTGGAGCAATTCAGTGTTTCTCTCCTTCTCCCTGCCTCTCTTCCTACTTCCCTCCCTCCCTCCCTCTCTCTCAGAAACTCAGTAAATAAAAAATAAAAAAGAACATTAATGCCTATGAATGCCCCTGTACTTCCAGGCGGCCCTGCTCATTAACTGAGTGAGCTTGTAAGAGGAAACTCTAGGCAGAAAAGCAGGGAGACCCATAGGGCCCTTGGGAAGAGCTGCTGTCAACCTGCACAGAACTGTCCCCTGCAGCTGGGCTGAAATCACAAGTGGACCATGGGGCCCTGGCCGGTTTGGGTCAATGGTTAAAGCGCTGGGCTGGGGATCAAAGGGTCTCGGGTTTGATTCCCAGTCAAGGGCATGTACTCGGTTGAGGGTTCAATCCCAGGCCCCTGTTGAGGCATGTGGGGAAAGCAACCAATCTCTCTCTCTCTCTTCCTCCCACCTCCCTCCCTTCTACTCTCTCTAAAAGAAATCAATGGAAAAGAAAATCCTTTGGTGAGGATTAAAAACAATTTTTTAAAGAAAAAAGAAAAGAAATGGGCCAGGGGGATGTGTAACATCTGCTATATCTGTTTGTTAAGTCTTAAAATTTCAGTATTAGTAACGCCTAACACCCATATAACACTTACCGTGTGCTGAGCACTATTCTAAGTTCTACATTTGTACATTGTTTGTTTGTTTTTCCCCCCAAGCCACACTGTATCCAGCTTTATTAAAGATACTTTTCATAAACAGTCATGGTATTTCAGGCAGGACAGGGGCAGACAATCGTTAACAGTATACAACAACTTTCCAACTCCCTTCTTCAGTGAACTACCAAAATCAGAAAGCCACCGTAAAACCCAATGAAGTCTTCATCTGATGCTCTGAACAGGGAAAGTTTAGAGTGAGGGTTGACATTTCACATTGAGCCTGTTGTTTAACAACTTTTCACAAGCCGACCCTGGCTTTCAGGAAATGAAATGAAAATGGCAGAGCATATCCATCTGTAGATCCACAATCTAAAGAGGAACTGCTGCTCTTTTGAGGGAGGCCCTCTCAGTGGTGACTCTGGGAAGTCCAGATGGCCCAACCGACTGGAAATCAATTTTTTTGGGTCAGGTCCCCATAGGTCTCTGGGCTTACGAGAGCCAAAGTCTATGCTTAAAGTGGAGAAGGAGAAAAGGACATAAAAACGAATTTTAGTTTTCCCACATGACAAGGTGTTTGTGCCAAGATGGCTAATGTGTGTCAACAGCAAGAGATCGCTCCTCTCAGGAACCAAGAGGAAGTTTCTCAAAACCAGAAGGCAAAGGTATTTCCCCCCCATGTCAGTCCAGCTTTGGAGACATTCTGTTAGTACTGTATGTCCTTCCCCACAAAATAACAATGAAGTGTTCTGTGTGCTAACAACATAGCTTAAAAAAAAGTAAAACAAAATTCTGCATTTTTATAAAGCTTGATAAAAAATAGTATTTCAAACTGTACAGTCACCAGAAATACACAGTTATCAAAAATGCACACACTTCACTTGGCATCTCCAGCACCTTCAGCTTTCTGTGCCTGTCTGTTTTGGCATCTCCATTTTCTGCAGGGCTATTCCCATCTTTGCCAGCATCAGCTTTCCCCTTTTTCCCTTCGGTACCTTCTCTCCCTTCTTTGCAGGGGCCTTTTTAGGCTTGGGCTCTGGCTTTGCAGGAGCAGGTTTAGCTGATAACCTGGCGGATCTTCTCTGTGGTTCGTCCTTCACCTTGGCTTTATCTCCTTTAGCATCCCCTTCGGCCTTTCTCTTGGGCACGATGGCGATGGTGGCGGGACGTCTGAGCGGGACGCGGGGATGCAGCAGCGCCCGGGTCTTGCTCGGTCCGGGGGTCGATCTCGTCTCCTCACACTGCTCCGTTTGTCCGTTGTTTAACTTGTACTTCATTAATAGTGAGAAACTGCTTCGGACATTTCACACTAGATCTAGCCAGTGTGTTGGAACCCTGACGTTAAGAACTTTTGAGGAAGGCAGTTGGGAGTTGTTGATGTAAATATTACTCAGAGAAGTGATGCAACCAGATTTTAAAAAAATTAAACATCAGTGTGTAGAATGGACACAAGTGGGAGGTGGGTGAGTCTGTTGTCTAACCAGAAACCAAGGTCTGATCAGACCAGTGTGGTTGGGATCCAGTTTTCACTCAAATGAGCTAAGGGATATGTGAGAACATTCTTTTAAAGTATAGCAGGTGCTTCTCCTGCCTTTTAGTAGGAGAGACACAACTGTAATACAAGGGAGAACACAGTAAGTTCCTTAAGAGGGACACAGACAAAGTGCTGTGGATGTTTGGAGTAGGCTGAGGTTGCTTCGAGTTTGGGAAAAGGGGTAGGGGAGATAGAGAAGCATTGTAAGCCTTGAAGAACCGGCGGCATTCGGATGTGTGGGGATAAGGGGGGAGGGATATTCAAGAAAAGGGAGAATGTGTATAGTCCAATTTGTGTGGCGCAGGCCATGAAGAAAGGACGTGTGAAAGAAGATCAGCCTTGAAAAGTAGATTGGGGCCTTTTTTATGTTCTGGCTAGCTTCATGGTAATGGATATTTTTTGGCAAAGGAGACAGGCCCTGTGTCCCCTCTCCTGGGTTCAAGGCCTATCGTTTTCTAGGGGTACCTTAAGGTCTGTACAAGGAAGGCCTCCTAAACGTTGGTTGTCTGGTCAGATAGGAGTTCCTTATTTGGGGTCCACAAAAAGGTGCCAAGAACTAAATAAACCTTGGAAACCATGTGTAATTTTTGTGTGTGTATACATTTTTGAGAAGAGGTAATTCTTATCCAGAAAAGACGAAAGAAGCCTAATCTAGGCCAACCCCCTGTGTTACTGAAGTTCAGCAGGAGTGGTTAGTGACAGAATTGGGACTAGAACCTGGATCCCCTAGGTATCCAGCCCAGGTCACTGCTCCTTCCACACCGTGTCACTCGAACCCTGTCCAGAACAACACAGTTCAGTGGTAGTGATGAGCATCAACGTCTGATTTAATTTTCATTCACACCACTTCTCTGAATCCCAAATCTATACTAGTCTATCCATCTTCCTATTCTGTCTCTCTATTTGATGTTTACAGGGATCTAAATTGTATTACATCCAAAATCGAACTCTTGAACTTCTCTTTCCAAACCTGCTCCTTCCTTGTACTTCTCTGTCCGGGTAAATGGCACCACTATCCACCCACTCAAGCTAGGAACCTGGAGTCATTCTTCATACCTCCCTATCCTTACTCCTGCCATCACTGCGTCTTAATGAGTCAACCTCCCAAATAATTCTCAAACCTGTTCACTTATCTCCATCTCCACCACCAGCACTCTGCCCAAAGCCCCGTCAGCTTCCGTCGAACCATTAGAGCAGCCTGTCAGCTTGTCTGCCTGCTTCCAGTCTATTCTAGTCTGCTCTGTGGCACTCCTCCATCTATTCTCCTCACAGAAAATGGAATGATCTGGGCACTCCCTTGAAACCATATTGCACTTCTGAAATACTCAGTGGAATTTCTTACCCTTCATACATGCGGTCCCTTCTGCCAGAAATGTTCTTTGTCCTCTGTTAGCCTGGGCTGCTTTTCCTTTTCGTTCAGAACTCAGCTTCGGAGGCACTTCCCCAGAGCGGCCTGCTGATTCTTCCATACCAACTGGGTCTCCTCTTTTCCAGCACTTATTTCATTTTGCAA